AAAAAAAAAAAAAACTCTTCATATAACGCTTAAAATTGAGATGTGGAACTACTACTTTTTTTCGAACGAACTGTTGTTTGATAGATCTAAATAGATCTGAAAGATAGATATAATGTCTTTTTCAATAAGTAGATTTAATTTTAAATAGAAAATATCGTATTGAGATAAATAACCTAATCAAAAGTTCGACATATTAATATATTATAGTATAAATATGCATTTGAGAAAAAGTATAACAGGTCGACGCGAATAACGGTTACGTCGACGCTGTGATACAATAATTTATATCATATTTTTTCTTATAGTATTATTGAATGGAAAACTTAATGTCCTTCTAAATAGTATATAATTTGATGATAAAATTCAATCAAAACATTCATCAATTACTACTTATATTTGTTGGTTTTTTCATTTTTGATTAGAATAGAGAAGTACACTAACAAAGGAACATATATATAGCTAAAGAGATAACGACATCATGAAGTGAATTATTAACAGTGTTATTAGAAGTTTGTGGGCTAAATTTATGGTTAATAATAATTATAATTATAAATGAATGATTAGACCATTGATTATGATCGCCATTATAACTCGCTGGAGTTTGATCCTTATTATAGTGGGCTTAAGGTGAAGATAATAATCATTTGACAAGACAAAATGGTATGCACCGATCAATTACTTTCAACTTCATAATGATTCACTTTCGTCTAATGAAGGATGACACTGAATTATTATTATTATTTTTTTTTTTTTAAATAGTGAAATTTTGTAAATATAAACCGCTAAAAAAATAAAATAATAATTTATAGTTATACATTTTTGAGAGAATGAATAACAAATTTTGTAGATATGTAAATACGTAATAATGATTAATTTTATTGAAAATATATTAAAAAAAAGAATGAAATGAATGAATAGTGAACCTAAGCAATCAGCTTCATAACTCACTATATATGCAAATATTACTGTGAGACGACGTTTTAATAATTAATTAGTGGACTCAACTGTATATGAAATATAAAATATAAACTTATACTATAGTATGTTATATTTTTACAATGTATATATTATAATATTTTAAAAAAAAAAATTTAATTTTCCTCTGAAGAATAACATCTTAATTAATAATATAATGGACTATCAATTTGTGCATATCTGTAAATAATACTATATAATAATGGATTTGGACTTGATGATATTAGTAAAACTTGTCACATACACTGATACACCTCATCATCAGTCATGACCAAACTAAAGAAAAAAAAAAAGTAATAATAAATATTTACATGAAGAAGCTCGTGAAGACATGTGGGTGAGCGTAATGGCGTCCACGAGGCAGATTAAACAAAGTTTAAGAACAACATAAACAAAAATATAACTTGTTTTATAATCGGTTGTTAACTAGTACGTACCCCGGGTGATTCACGAGATAAATATATTAAATGAATTATTTTTACAGTCTCTGTTTAAGTGTAAAAAGTAATACTGTTATTATCTATTTTCTACCTCTTTTAATCAACGTTAAGTCTAAAAAATTATTAAACCGTCCTCTGGCAAATATGTATGGAGTTATGTGTTCGTGTCTCATAAGTCACAAACATTATAAATAAACATTACAAATTATTCATTCAAACTTTTATTCATTGCAAATATATTAAAATAGTTTATATAACATTCATTAAACACCACTTTCAATATATTTATAAATAAAAAGTACATAAAATTTCTGGTGTGTTCCAAATTTAAATAATTTTTTATTGGTTCAATTTTAAATCATCCAGACATTTGGTCAAACGCATAGGTGTGTTCAAATTTAAATCATTGGCATTTAAATCATGGTACTGTGATGTGTATTATATATATACAATTTATTAACAAATAATATATGCTTTATAAAAATAATAATAATAATTTCACAAGATTTTAAACGTAAAATTTGGTTTTTAATCACAATAGAAAAATCATGGTAAGATGTATTGAAAATGTGTTATGAAATAAAACAATTAACTAAAATAATTAAATAAAATACTTGATGGAAATAAAATGCATTAATTACCTTTGACTTTTCTTACTACTAATTCTAGTAAATAGAATATCTTTTTATATAAGTATATTTTTTTTTTCCTTTTAACAAAATGATTCTATCTTGACATAAACAAAAAATTCTTTCCTTTAATATTTTTATTAACATAGGCAATAATTTTATGATATACATTATAATAAACTCAATTTAACTTTCGTGATTCTTATTGATTATTTTATTGTCAAGATAGACATGAAAACATATTTAAGTTCTAAACATATTATTTTTTTCATAAATATTGGCTTTTCATCCTAAATTATTTATGAAAAATTGTAACATGTTAAGTTTTTTATTCGTCTTTATTTTATTATATATATAAAATAAAAACAAATTATTCTTTTAAATTTATATAATTTACCATTTATGTGATAATGACCAGATACATTAAATAATTTTACTAATGGCCAGATCGTGAAATTGAAATATTTTAATTAATTTTTAAAATTTTTACATGTGATTTATTTGTATATTATTGTTAACCGTGATTATTTTTTATCATTTTTTTTTATTTTGATTTATTTCCATTGAAAAACTCTTTTAAAATATAATTACATTACATACATATTCTTGGCTTACGAGTTGTTGTTTGTTGACTTAACAGTTGTTTAATCATGGAATAAAGATATATACTAAAATCAAATTTATATTACTATAAACATTATCGAACAATATATTAATTCGTTTACAGGCTAATGCTAACATGCTCAGGTTTAATATCACGACTATAAAATGACACTGATGAAAATATGTGAAAAATAGATGATCCAACTCTATTATTTTTTAGGCCTTAACTGAAAAGCCATATGAAAATGAATCCTTTAATATATCTGTACCGTACATCGTATGAGTTACTTGACGGACAAACTATATGAAAATGACTCATTTAAAACATATGTCTCGTGCATCGCACGGAGTACGTACTAGTAATTCCCCAAATCAATTAGTAACACACTCAAAATTAACTTATAAGCTTAGACTTGGCCATTTTGATCAACCAACTTGTAACTCTATTTATCAAACACACCCTAATACTAAACCATTTTCCATTCCAATTTCAACCTAAATTCATTCCGCCCACAAAATTATATCCATTATTCCAAACAAAATAGAAGGATGGATAACCCAATCTTTGGTCTCCACATTGTATACCACAGTCCATACACATAACATGAAAGTATCATGAAAAATGCCTTTCTTGTCAGGGGGCCCTGATCCCCTGCATGCCCCCACACCATGAAATAATTGCACCCTCACCCCCAAAATACCAAATAAAATTAAATAAAAATAAGAAGAAAAAAAAAAGTCCACCCAAGAGCTACACGTTCATTCATCTTCAACCCCCATTTTCTCACAGTAGAAAACACACACACACACACATACACACTGCACTTTTTCTTCCCTTTTTCCCCGTCAACTTGGCCCAAGGCGACCCGAACCCGATACAGTTACCCGCCGCCGCCCTCCTCTCCTCGAGCAGCCGCAAGAGTTCAAGAACCTCCCAATTTTTTTTGTCACCCGCTGCCTCGGCCGCAAGTTCAGAGGAACGGTTTGCTACTATGCAAGATCCAAACCCCAAGCACTCGATGAACCAAATGCCGCCGTTTTCTGGCGCTATGAGGCCCGCGCACCACCGGAGGGCCCACTCGGAGGTGAACTTCCGGCTGCCGGAGGATTTGGATCTGGCGTCGGACCCGTTCGACGCGCCGGCGGGGAGTTTCGAGGAGATGGGATCCGAGGACGATCTGTTCTCGACCTACATGGATATGGAGAAGCTCGCTGGTGGCGGCGGAGCCTCCGGATCTGGAATCGGAGACTCTGTTTTTGACAATGCTGGCGGCGGGGCGGCGGAGGAGGGGGAGAAGGGTGGTCGCTGCGACGGAGGAAGTGTGTCCAGGCCTAGGCATAGGCATAGCAACTCGGTGGATAGCTCGGGCTTGTTGTTCAATGAGAGTAGTATCGAAGCTAAGAAGGCTATGGCGCCGGATAAGCTGGCTGAGCTGTGGACTATCGATCCCAAGCGCGCCAAGAGGTATTTTATTTCTTACACTGTTTGTTATCATACTTTTTTGTTGGCTCATTCATGTGTTAGTTGTTATCAGGCTATACATACAAATTTCGTGTGATTTACTTGTGTTTGAGTTATGGATTTAGATTTATTGTGGACTTGACATGGATCTTTGTGAATCGTTGAGGTTGACTGATTTAGGCTTTTAGTCTAATCTTTATTTGGATATGTGTTCTCTTATTGAAATATAAAGAAGAATTAAGAATATGAAGGATGGGGCCTCAAATTGATTACTTTATATCATGGTGATAGACTTGCATAAAGTTAGAGCTCGATTGATCTATGGTTCAGTCACATAACAAATAGTTAAATAAATAAAGGAGCTTTGAAAGCATTATCATTGTGTAGTTTTTCATCAAAGTGGATTTCTCTATGTTTTGTTATCAGTTTCTATTAGATAATAATAGAATTGTCTTCTTTTCTGGTTAGATCTTATTTGGCATGCGTTGTTTCGGTAAAGAACATTTTGGTATATGTTAGTTCCCCTTCAACATTGCTCAATGGTGGGGAATACTCATTGAATTTCTTATGTAATATCAGAATTTCGGGTCATGACAATTAGGCTGAGTTTGTGTTGCTATTCTCTTATACAGTTCGTTCTTATTGCGGCTGGAATGGGTGTTGTTAGTTATTTGAATAGCGTATGAGATTTAGTGATAACAAAGATGACATAGTTTATTCGATCTTCTCCTCCTAATTATCAGGAGAAAGAATCTTGGTTCTTGAGTGATTTAGAAATTTGTTCTGAGTTTGAGTTTTGTTTGGTTTTAGGATGCTCTCGATTCAAATTACTGAAGATCCTCTAAATTTTGGAGAGTAGAAAAACTAATTTGTAAAGCAACACACTTAACTTACAATGCAAGAACCTTTTCATAACTTATTATTGTAAGTATCTGTAATATGAAAAGAAGAAAACATTTGGTTGCAGTAAAAAAATTCATGGATTTTCTGAAGTTTGTGTGTTAGAACTGATTTTATCAATCGGTGATGGTAGAACATGAACAACAAAAAATGGAAAACAAAAAATGGAAAACATGAAAACATTTCTGTTCAGAAGGCTGAATGATGAAGTCACTCATTATTGTTTAAGTGTGTATCTCGTCACTTGAACCAGATTTTCTTTCTAAGAGTTGGCATATCAGGATTAAGCGAGTTTTATTTGATCTGCCTTCTATTTTTTGAAATCACAGTCACATATAGTACTAGCTACGTCCCCCTGAGATATGTTTATCTGCCTTTTTGTCCTTCACAGATTATAGGCTTCTTTCCTTTTTGATAGTATTAACTACATATTGATAGATCAATGTACCGCTATTTCATTACTCGTCTCTCTTTGTTTCATTAGTTGGATTGCTAGTAAGTTATTGCAAAGGCGAGAGAGGAAGAATAACAAAAGATATCACATTCCCAGTTATGTTTATTATGTTTTTCATTTGAATTTTGTGTTATATCCCCTCCAAGCTTATTTTAGGTAAATGGAGGTGATAATAGCTCTTTTGATTTACTTATTTATTTATTTATTATTTTTTTTTTTCCAATGCTGCTAGAATTATATTCGAATTTTAGATATCCCGCTTTAGATATGGCCGAATCTGTGAGTTATGTCTCCCGACACCCTTTGAATTTATACTGCAATCAACTGACAAGTTTGTAATAATCACGCAAGGATTTTGGCCAACCGGCAATCTGCAGCTCGATCTAAAGAGAGAAAGGCACGTTATATATCTGAGCTAGAGAGAAAAGTTCAGACTCTTCAAACTGAGGCAACAACTCTCTCAGCTCAACTCACTTTGTTCCAGGTATTTCATTAAATTCCTCTCATATGTAACAACAAAAATAAAATGGATATTTCAAACAATCTGTTTCTATATGCTTATGTATCTCTCTTATAACATCATCAAGTCCTGTTGTAAATTTATTATTGTGCTATTAAAATATTCTTTCCAAGCACAGTTTTTATGATTTTGACTCAATTCATTTGTCTCCTTAAGCGAGACACGACAGGGCTGAGTAACGAGAACACAGAGCTTAAGCTGCGGTTGCAAGCCATGGAACAGCAAGCTCAGTTACGTGATGGTAATGCTAAAGCATCATTCTTTTTTTTTTTTTTT